GCCTGGTAAGGCGCAAGAAGTAATTTCTAATGAATCTGAATCTGAGGATCTTGAGGTAAGTCAAAATGATGATAGGGGATCTAAATCTCCCGTTCATGAATAAGCTGTCAACTCTGTTCTTGGAGATGAGGAAGATGGCGACGAGGAGGTAAATAAGGGTGAAGGTAGGAATGTAGAGGAAGAAGAGGATATTGTAGATTTGATGAAGCAGGTAACCAAGGAAGAGGTTTTGGATGAAGGCTATAACTCCGAAGAGGACGATGCAGAATATCGGCAACCTCTGGTGCTGCCAACCAATGGCAAAGTTGCCAAGGCCAAAATTAATAGTTCTTGGCGTAAACTGGCTCTGGAGAAGGACTATTGTCGGCATGCTAAGCGGTTTTACCAGCTACCTGAAGGGCTATGAGTTAACCCTTCATCCTCCTGAATCTTCGGTGCTGGATTGTCCAGCTAAACATGTTGTCATATACGCCAAACACTTTGACTTCGTCCTTCGTTTTCCTCTTCATCCGTTCATAGCCAAAATTTTAAGGGCTTGGAAACATGTGTCCTGTGCAACTCACTCCTCCAACTATTCGGACGCTAGTAGCCTTGGTTAGGGTTATGTTGTATAAAAAATTTCCTTTAAGCTTAAACCTATTCAGGAAGCTGCATTAGATAAAACGGGACGGTAAGTCCAAGGGATGGTGGTCGATCTATACAACTTCTCATAAGTACACCATCCACCCCAAGTTATCTAGCTGTGAAGGTTGACAAGACAAATTTTTATTTATGCGTGTTCCCGATGATTTTCCAATTAGGAGAACTTTTTACCGTCCTCACTCTCGATTTGACACTATTGTAGATAGAGGCCTTGGCGTGCAAGAGCGCAAGGCTTTTGATTATTTCGATATTGAGGAAATAGATCTTGGTGACGATCGTGTTCAGATAGTCCCCAGGGTGTGGGTGCCGAACGTGAAACACATTCTCGGCAACGCCCCTTTGTCTCATGTTAGTCTATGTGCGACCGATAGTTATGGTACTAACCTTATGTTTTGGTGTTATTCTTGCTTTCACTATTTTCATGTGTAAGTTTGTAAACGTTAGTTTTTGTTTCTTTAGATACGCTTTATTTAGTCTCCATTGCGTGCCTTTTTTAGGGGTTGAAAAGTTGGACAAAAAGATTCTTGGTTTATCGGCCGACGGCAAAAATGTGTTGAGATGTTGCCCGAAATCACCCAAGCCTAGGTACGACACCCTTACTACTTATGGTAGTCGGTCCTCAGCACGAAATCCCAAGAGGAAAGCTGAAGAGATGGCTGACGATAGTGCCAAGAAAAACCCTAAACGTCTTACCTCCCTTGCTAACAGACGAGGAGGAAAGGGTGGAGCTACTGGCTCAAGGAAGGAGGACAAACAACCTGTTAAGAGGGAAAAAGGGAATTAGGAGCAGCAGAAGCAGCAAAACTTACAACATAAAAAAACAAGATCATAAACAGCAATTTAAGCCCCAACCACAACAACAAAAACCATTTGATCATCTTACCAAAGAGTCATTAAAAAAGACTGTGTCGGTAGGGGCCACAGTTGAGGATATTGCGGACTCTCCACCTCTCATTGAAAAGGGTACAATGATGGTTCACTCTAAGCCGCAAACTGCAACTCAAGTCAGTTCTGATGTGAGTGCACCGGGGATTGTATACCGGTCAAATCAGTCGATAGAGCGACCATCTGGCAAGCTTCCTGATGAAGTTGCAAAGAAATTTGATGTGCCTACTGGTAGTTCTCGTGATCGATGGCAGCCACAGTTGGACGTATACCGGAATGAGTCCATCTTTATTGATGGTCTGCTTCAAGGCGGTAACCTAGGATATCGACTGCTTCATAACCTGGCTATTCCTGTTGATAGGCCCACTGGCCTTGTTGGCTCAGTTGCAGCTCAACATATGCATGACTTGATGAAGGTATCATATCCAGCTAACGCGGATATACTTCCAATTAATATTGAAAGTATGTCTTTTTCTTTACTTCCTTCTAACATGGTAGTTTTTTATATTGGTCACGTAGGTTGTTGCCTCCGGTAATGAACTTGTTGAGAAGTACCGATACTATCAAGAGAAAAATCACCAGGCTGTTCTGAACTAACAAAACATGGATGCTGCTCTGAAAGGTGTTCAGAAGGCTCTTGACGGCCTTGTCGCAGCTAAGAAGAAGGAAGATGAAGAGCTGAAAAGCCTTAGAGAAAAAGTCAAAAACTTCAAGTCCAACGAAGAGGAAATCAAAACCCTTTGCCAACAGCTAAACGAGAAGTCAAAGGTTATTGAGCGCTTGCTGGTGGTTCAGAAGGAGCTTGCTGATGCCAAAGGTGCTATCGGTCATCTAGAGGAGAAAATCCAAAAGATAGAATCAAACAAACCAGGAATTCGGCAAAGAGCCGTCGGTCGATACCTTAGGTCTGCCGCTTTCATCGAAAGGCTTCAAAACCGATACAATGGTGGTTGGACTGCAACTTAACGGTGTGTTGTTCAAGTTACTGGCTAGGAGAAAGCCGAGTGGGCTAAGGTCGAGGCAGCTTTCAATAACAAAGCTCAAGAGAATGCTACCGGCTTTGAGCAACAAGAATTTGCTGATGAGGATCTGTTCAATGCTGACCCGAGTGAAGATGATTTCCTGGTGGATCCTAGCCTCCTGAACTCCCCCAGACCCGAGAAAACGTAGGAACCTCAAGCTTGAAGGGGAAAGCAGTCATCACCGATATCATCTTGTGGCTCATGTGTGCTTGGGCCTTATCAGTATTGATGATTTGTTTTTGAATTTTTTGTTTATCGAAAAACTCCTTTTATTTTATGCTGTTTTATCGGCATGTACCCTTTTTTGTGGAGATGCCTGTCGAATTTATATGTTGCTACTTTGATTACGCTTATGCTTTTTAACTCTTATCATTATTTATGCTATAAAAATGGCATTTACAACAATATCGTTTTGCGTTTACAACAATAGCGTTTTGCATTTACAGCTAGTTGTATGGGGGATACAGGTAAAGAGCATAACCATGCCGATATCACCCCTTTCAGACAAGACTCTGGTTACTACTGCAATTCAAAATGACCATGTCGGTAATCGCTCATAACGGCATAGGTTAAGGTTGTCCAGTGTGCACCACGTGGCGTGAGACAATCAACACCTGGCATGTATGTTATTTGCATGGCATGCAGCCACCTGACAGATGAATCCTTTATTAATAGGCAATTTAATCCTTCATTTCAAGGTAACAATAAATGATCTCTCTCTCTCTCCCTTTTACGTCTCTTTAAAAGGGATGGGAATTATATAACCCATCACCTTGCTAAGCTAGTGCCTTTTGGTATTGAACAAGTGTGGGTTAACTATTGCCTTGAAATTACAAAAGCACTTAAATTACTCAATATTTTCCAATTTTAAGCTATCCATCCATGATATATCCCTCACCCCTTATCAAAACATCATCCAATTGTGTTCCATCTTTGTTTTCTTTTTTGTTGAGTTTTTTCATGCACATATATTCACTTTCAATTTAGTTTAAAGCTCAATTTCCTTTTTTTCAAACTTCATTTTTGAATCCATATTTTCTTAAATTTTATCTTTTGTACTCGATGATCATAGCTAACCCATTACTCATATTAGTTAGTACGTTAAATTTGTTGTGGGTGCGAGATGGTGAATAGTGAGGTTGGCAAGACTAGAGTCAAGAGACAAATGCGAGCAGAACGGATATATCTACATATGTTATTTCCAACATATAAGGTTAAAACAACATAAAAATTAAAATCACTTAGAAAAATGAGTGAAAAGAGGAGAAAAAAGAAATTTGTCAATTCAATGCTAGGGTCGGGTTTGGTGAGGTCAGGTCAAGCCATATCTATTTCAAAATTGAATAATGCTATTGTATCCAATATCCACACGAGTCGAAATATGAATCCAGAACTATATACTAAAGGCGAATCAAGAATGACACGTGTCATCTCCTGATTAAATATTTTCCCGCCTTTTTTTTTAAAATTTTTTATTTTTATTTTTCTTTTGGTCAAACCCTAATAACAATAATATTTTCTTTCCATATTTAAGGTATTATATAAATAGAATAGTATTTTAGCCAAGGACTGCGTATAATCATTCAATTTTTTTTTCCTCCAACTTTATTATTTTTGGCAATAAAGTCTATTTCAATTAGAGAAGAAATATTTTAATAACATATATAACTGTATATTCTCTAATTTTCTACCCTTCATATTAATAATATCATAATGTGTCAAAATTTGTGCAAAAATATTTTCAACAAAGAAAATTATAATAATACAATACGTACTCAATCTTAACTAATCGACAACCTATTATGTACACCCGGGTGTACCGTACACCCAAGGTCATTTGCTCATTTAATCAACAAATGAGTAAATAATATGAACCCGGGTGTACTGTACACCCGAGTGTATATAACAAATTCTATAATTAATCAATAAAAATATATATATAATTTTCGGGAATACAATTATTCCTTCTCTACTTCAACATAATAATGTTTAATTTGCAATATTAACCTATAAAAAAATTAATTGAACAAATATTATTATATAAATAAAAATTTATATATACTGCTCATATATTATGTAATAAAAAAAATGGTTATTAATTATCACAAAGTAAAATAAAATCAAATAAATTTGCATAAAACATTGTGTCGAACAAGTATGTAAACAAATTAGGGACGAAGGGTATATCCATGTATATGTGTATTATACGGGTACTAATCTAAATTTTTTATAAGGGGTAGTATAAAACCTCATAGTCCAAATTTCTTTCATTTAATTTGATTTGTTAAGTCTTTTGCATTAATAATCTTGACATCTTTGGCATGAGTACAAATTGAAATTCTAGCTATTTTATTTCCCTTAAAAAATGTACTTCGTGATATTTTTTTGGTACATAATTATTGCAATATAATTCACTATAAATTTTAGTAAAACCGTACATGACGCGGGACTTAAAATAGTTGGACTATTACGAGTCAAATCGAATCGGATCGGTTGTGTCAATTTTTGAAACCTCTTAATACAAAAGGCTATCTAATTACATATTATGACATATTAACTCCCCAATCTACTCCAAATCCATGATAGATTTCCTCCGCATCAAATTACCACCCAATGTGTAACCCATTCCATTTGTGTCAAATTCATTCATACCCTTCCCCTTTTCTTTTTCTTTTTCTATTTTTTTTTTAAAGACCTCTACCCATTTTTCTAATTGGTTCAATTTTCTTCTCATTGACTAAAAAAACTTTTTCTCCTTACCTGAGTCATACTCGAGTTAACTCGGACACACCCACCCATTCTCACTTCCTTCTCCCCTTCACTTTCTCTCTCCTTAATCCAAAATTTCCGCCATTAACAACCTTCAACTTTCTCTCTCCTCCTTCATCAATGGATTCCTCCCCAATCTACCGTCTCCCTCAAGACACCCTTCACATGATCTTCATCAAACTCCCTCTTCGTGAAATCATAATCTGCAAATCCATCTCAAAACCCTTCAACAACCTCCTCACTTCACCTTCCTTCTGCCACCTCATCTCCTCCCTTCACCCTCCTCTCTCTCTCCTCGCTCTCCGCCCTCCTCACCACCACACGCGCCACCGTCACGCGTCCCCTCTCTCTCCCCCGCCGCCGATTCTCCACGCCTTCGATCCTTCCTCCGATGAATGGCTCAGATTCGATCTTACTTTCTTACCCTTTACTTCTCTCTCCCCTGTGACGTCATCACTCGGTCAGATCTACCTTTGGGGTGACTCGCCCGATTCACCCGCTCGTTCGCTCGTTGTTTGTAACCCCTTGACTCGGGCTTACCGGGTCTTACCCCAACTCGGGTCGGCTTGGTCTAAACACGGGTCGGTTTTATCCGGGTCGGGTCGTCGGGTTCTTGTGCTCACTGAACTTGCGACCTTGTATTGGTGTGATCATAGTAACAATTGCAATCATGGGTTTGATAAGCAGGATAACTGGTTGAAATTTTCGTCGAATTTGCCGTCGAAACCTCGGAGTCCCATCTTAGTTGGGAGCTCGTTGTATGCGCTTTGTGATGTGGGTTCACCTTGGAGAAGCATCTGGAAGCTATTTAGCTGTAATTTGCCGGAATTCGAGACGACGTCGTTGGGGTGGAGTAGGGTGGAGAGGAGTGAATGGGGTGATGTGTTCGATATCTTGAAAAGACCTAGATTGGTTAAAGGGGTTGGGAGTAAGATTTTGATGGTGGGAGGGCTAAAATCGTCATTTTCATTGAATGCTTCATGTTCAACAATATTGATACTTAGGTTGGATTTGGAGAGTTTGGAGTGGGATGAAGCAGGGAGAATGCCTTTAGATATGTATAAGTGTTTTCAGGAATCGTCGAAATTTAAGGTGTTTGGAGGTGGGGATAAGGTTTGTTTCTCGGCTAAGAGGGTTGGGAAATTGGCATTGTGGGATAATTCTGCTCAAGGGGTTTTCAGTGGTAGTGGTGGCGAGTGGCGGTGGATCGAGGGGGCGCCCGGGTATGGGGATGGGTTGTTGCGTGGGTTCGTGTTCGATGCGTGCCTTGGTGCGATGCTGTGAGTTGTGGGTGGTTGCTTTGGTGGATTTCTATTCAATGTCAGTCTGATCATAGGGGTATGTTTTAAGTTTTAGTATGTGGGTTGTTTTTCTTACAAAAAATGTTTATTTTATTGTTGTGATTGGAATGTTGTGTGAAGTTTTGAGCATGAAATTGATTAGTTGTAGTGTAATTGTACATTGTTTTGCCTGATTATACTAGTTTTAGATTGCAAAAACTATAATTGAGATTTGATTAGTGTAGTGTAATTGTAAATTGTTTTGCCCGATTATTCTAGTTTTAGATTGCAATGACTATAATTGAGATAGTGTTATTTGACTCAACTGTGGGTTGAACAGATAAAGAAAGTCATGTTGCATTTGTTTCCAAATTGTAGCAATAGTTTAATTTTGCTATTGCCTTAATGGCAATATGGTGGAAATGGGATAGATAGGTGGATGGGATTTATGGGAATTACAATTCTCATGGTTTGGTCTTAGGAACTAGGATCGGGAAACCATATTCCCAAGTTCTCATTACCAAGAGTGGTTAGGAGCCGAGGAGTTTGTAATTGGGGTGAATTTTTGGGAGTGAAACAACAATATTGATGAAAGACATTATAGTAAAATGCTAACACTTATTCCCAAATTATCCCCACCACAGAACTAACAGTTTAGTGGTCGTTTGATCAACATATACACTTCATGTGTGATTTCCCGAGAAACAGAAAACTAGGAAGTTGTTGGTTGACAAGAATGAAGGAGGTTGTGCTTCCCACACTTAGCGGAATTCCCAATTGCTAATTCCCACTCTCAGAGTCCCATTTCCATTCTTCAACCCCCAAACTCCTATTCCCATTTTCCAATAGCCTTGTTGGTTATCATAGCTTGATGTGATAATGTATTGAGCTATGGCATTGAATTTATCATGAGATAGGTTCATCATCGAAAAAGAAAACTTTATAGGATTATGTATGATGATGTAGAAATTATTGGTTACGGAGTATAACATGTCATGATCTCACCATATATTTAGCCTACCAGTTTCATACAGCGTTAATAAATGGAGCTTCAATGTGTGATGGAAGAACACAGACATTGACATAGTATTAAGTATTGTGCCTACTTGATATGATTACTCACCTTTGCAGTGCAACCAGAGAATTCCCTCCGTTCATAATTAATTGTCACATTGTACCATCCCCCATAATTAGGATTCACTAGGATTACCCAACATATCATTCAATAGTTGTCTATTTCCCATCCCCTATGTTATCAATTTCTACTTTAGGAAATGTAGAAAGTTTGTTTGAGCATCCCAAACGAGTGTTCAAATTCCGGGCGGATGAAGTACTTACTAACAGTGAGGCCTGGTAGCCTGTTAGGCTGTTAGCTTGTAGAGACAGACTTGTAGTGAAAGAGCATAGGTCAAAGTCAACTTATTAATTTCTTAAAACAATTTTGCCAATCAGGTAAATCATAGTTGAATAATCATCTCTGCATATGAAGTTAGTAATCTGATTAGTGATTATAATGGCGGTAGTATAAACTTCTGCACAATAATGCAGGAAAAGGAGGAGATGGACAATACAAAATCCCATGAGCCAGCTTGAGCTGATCCATCAGTCATCACAACCATTGATGGCGATTCATGGAAAATCTGAAGGCTGAGGAATTGAGAGAGACAGAGGTTTAACCGCAACTTCATTGTAAGATGCATCGCATAATGTGAACTATGAAGCAGATGAAGCTGGGTCAACTTCTTTCCTGCAGATAAATTTTAAGTTACTTGGCTGGCTTTTTTAAATTTTTTTTTTTTTTTTACTTTCTTCTTTTCATTTTTTTACTTAAAAGAATTTTAAAATCAATAGGTCGTCATACTATCTGATGTGCATGAAATACGTGTGCACCAGTTCAGAAATTTTCTCAACAGAAACATTGAATGTAGTTTTGCAATTTTCAGTGCAATTTCAACCATAGGTCTATAAACTGTTGTATTTTTTTTTTTTTTTTGTTTTAAGAGAATGATGTAAACTTTGATTATGAATTAAAGCTTTGAGCTTTTGAATTTAGTTTGTGCAAGGATTGAATCAAAATACTTTTTTTTTTTTTTTTAAGAGAATGGAGTTTTTTTTATTACGATCTAAGCTTTGAGCTTTTGAGTTGAGTTTGTACAGGAATTAATTAAATCAAAATTTTCATTTGATATGTTGAGAGGTTTCCAGTGTCAATCAAAGGCCAGGAGGCATTCTAGACACACAAAACGTTTTCATTTTAGGACACAACTTTCTCGCCGACTGATTATCCAAACCCATTATCTGATACCAATTTTCTGCAAATTTTCTCATACGACTGCTGTACATAAGGTTTACCCTAGAAAGAAAACGTCATACATGCAATACTTGAATCATATTTTTATGTCTCTATCTTTCATGAGAGTTATCAATACTAAAGGTCTACAAAACACTTTTCGTTGTTTAAGTTGCGTGTTTGTTGTTTTAGGTGCGTTTTGCGTATGGATGAATGGATGTGCTTTGGGCTAAAGGTCAGCATATCCCCTCTATGATTGGAGTAAGGTTGCATTCATCTACATCTTTCTTTAGATACCTCTACCATCACTGGGAGTAAGGTTGCATTCATCTACATCTTTCTTTAAATAGTAATGTTACGTTGATGTTACATTACTGGTTACTATATACTTTTGCTTTCAACACCTGTTCTTAAATCTCAACATTTTTGACAAGTATAAAATGAGTAGACTAAGTGACAAACACTGAATTTTCTAGTTAACAATAACTATAAACATCAATCAAAGTTAACGAATAATGATAATCCAAGTGGATATAATTAGACAAATTTCGAATACTCGACGACTATTAACACAAGACATAACAATTACTCGACGACTCCTATTCAATCCATAACAGTAAATGGTTATCCTATGTCTTCACGGTAGCTCTAAACCGCCCTCGGAAATACCAGCTAAAATGACGAAACTACCCCTGATACTCATAAACCATAGTCACGCAGCAATCACATATCCACATAATATGATAACAACCCATAAGGCCATGACAGTTGAAACAGAGGGAGCACTAACAGTAACTAAAAACAGTCCCAAACAGTAGTGACACTGCAGTTAAGGTAGAGTTTTAATCACACAGTCGTCAGTTCTGTTGCATCACAGTCAAAATGTGCGCAGTTTCCAGAACTAACTCCAGTTTCCTATTCTGAATGAGCTGTGATACATTAACGTGTCACCAATCCTCTGCATTTAGAAACTCTCATACCCACCTATTTCGGCTGCCTTCCGTGCTCTATATTCAAGTCCACATTATAAATTCAACGAAAAAAAAAAATAACAATTTTTATTTTTTTATACTATACTGTAGAAAAAAAAAAAGAGAGAATAAATTTGGTGGTCCATTAATCCAATAGCAAGCAACCAAAAAATAAGTACCCCACTTAATAAAAGCTAGAAGTATAAAATAGGTATTTTTATAATATACTCGTAGTATAAAGTTGGCAAATGTCATGTAGAATGCAATGTATGTGCCTAAAAGTGAAGGGTAACGCAAAGTTTTGGCTTCTAACAAACGACAAAGAACGAAGGCTTTATACGTGAAAAATGTAGATGCCAATAATATTAAGATGCCAAAAGAATTTGTAAAGATTTTTGCAACAAACAATTTCTAAGAAATTTCCCTCATTAGCAAGTATATAGTTCTAGATTGGTTGGTCGTCGAGAAATTGGAGGGTATTCAACTTGGATATTGAAGGGACATGGTACCTTTGGTCCACAAAGATTTTAGTGATGATTTACTCGTGGTTTTTATGAGGAGCACTACGATGATGTACGCGTAACTATCAAATTAAATGTACTTCAAGTGATGAGGAAGTTTCGGAAGTACGTGTAGCAATCACCGATTTTAGATTGGTCCGGCGGTGGAGTTGGGACTAGATAATCTTGAGATTTCAAGTTTTACATCATAAAATTATTTTTAGGAATTTCCGAATTCTTTTGGAAAAGGTGGCTCAAATCTTGCAAATTTTATGCGATTCGCTTCATGAATAAATATCAAGTTTTTATAATTTTATTAAATCTAATTAAAGATATTGTTGACAAATATGCGCGATCAAATCAAAAAAATTAAAGACGGAGGGAGTATAAACTTTGTAGTGATCTAATTGCATTTGTATGTAAATAGTTCCTTTAATTATTATTTTATTTTGGGAAAAAAATTATGTGAAAAATTATTGATACAAAATTGGTAAAAAAAAAAAAAAAAAATTACCTCAAAGTGACAACAAAACTGGGACAAACGATATAAGGAAAAAGACAGGTGAGTTAATGGGTCCTTGATGAACAATATGGGTTGAGTACGGTTTTGTATTTTAGCAAACAAGTTGTCGACAAGTGCAACCTTAACTTTAAAACCGTAAAACATCATCATTTTTTTATGGATTCTGGAATCTGGATTCAGATATCTCAACCATACATGGGTACAATTCGTACAAAGCATTCAACATCCTATTTGTTTCATCAATTCATATTGGGCTTATTGGGCCTTGGGCATTTCAGAGATATTTGTCTATTCCTTTTTGTTGTTTAGATTTTAGAAAGCTCAAAACATTAGGTAGAACAGTAATGTTGGCCGAATTTAATTTGTAATTCGAATATTACTTCACGAAACTTTACGAGCTTGGTATCAATACTTTCCTATGATTTATATATGTTTATTAACTAAAAAAAGAAAACATTAACTGTGTGATTTGTGTCCGATTGAAGTCTACCAATAGGCCATTATGATGCATTCAATCCATACTGTTTTTAGTAGGTTTATTTCAAGCTATGATGTATTCAATTCATATGACTACGTATATATTTTTAAAAAGCATTGATTTAGATTTAGATTTGCATGACAAAATTATTTGTTGATCAATTTAAATAATGTTTGATTCGGTTTATATTATACTAATATACAAGTAGTATGTTGCTTGCACGTCTTTGCAAATAAGTAAAAACTGCACTGCTCGACGCCTCGACCATGTCTCCTCTCCCAACCTAACTCTTTTCAACCATTATAGAGCTTAGCTTGTCAAATATAACCTTCACAAAGTCTTTCTCCTCTTCTACCATGGAATACCCACCAATGTACCGCCTTCCACAAGACATTCTATGCATGATCTTCATCAAACTTCCACTTCGCCAAATCATCATTTGCAGGTTAATATCCAAACCTTTCCACCACCTCCTCACTTCTCCTTACTTCCTCAACCTCATCTCCAACCTTCCCTTCCCTCTCCTCGCTCTTCGTCCTCCTCTCCACGACAAGTACTACCGCCTCGTACCCCCACCTCCTGTCTCCCTTCTCCACGCCTTTGATCACTTCTCTAACCAATGGCTCAACTTTGACCTTACCTTCCTTCCCTTCACCTCTCTTTTCCTTGTTACTTCTTCACCCGGTTGTATCTACCTTTGGGGTGAGTCACCTGACTCACCCTCTCGATCACTTGTTGTATGCAACCCCTTGACTCGGGTTTACCGAGTCCTCCCCAAGCTCGGGTCTGCATGGTCAAAAAATGGGTCAGTCTTAGCCGGTTCAGGTGGTAGAGTCTTTTTGTTCACTCAATTGGCCACCTTGTATAGGGACAATCACAACGAAAATTGGCTCAAGTGTTCGACGAATTTAAGGTGTTCGTTGAATGCAAGAAATTTAAAGCCTAGAAGAGGCATTTTCATAGGGAGCTCTGTGTATGCATTGTGTTGGCGTCATGTGGAGTCGCCTTTTAGTGATATAGTTACCTGTAAACTGCCTGAAAACAAAACGACGTCATTGGTGTGGAGTTTGGTAAAGAAGAAAGAATGGGGGGTTGGGATTGATATTTTGCGATCTCCCAAATTACTTAATGGGATTGGGAACAAGATTTTAATGGTGGGAGCAGAAAAGAAAACAATGTTAATAAACGATTATGCTCACTTAGCAATATTAATACTAAGGCTAGATTTGGAGAGCTTGGAGTGGGAAGAGGCAGGGAGAATGCCCTATGATATGTATAAGTGTTTCGAGGAAACTATTTTATACAATAAGTATTTTGGAGGTGGGGATAAAGTTTATTTTTCAACGCCTGGAGGGAAGTTGGTTGTTTGGGATGATTCGGCTAAGGGGGTGGTTGGGGGTCGCAGCGAGTGGCGGTGGAATGAGGGGGCACCTGACTTCGGGGATGGGTTGTCGCGTGGCTTTGTCTTCAATGCAAGCCTTGGTGCAACGCCGTGAGTAAACTTTTCGTTTGGATTTCTTCTTGCGTATGGAAAAAATCTGATCATAACTATGGGGGTGGGTTATGTAGTGTACTGGTGTGTGTAATTACACAATTTGTCACAGTCGTATATCAGTGTATGTAATAATGTACGGCTTTGAGAATGCAATTAAAGGTGTTTCTGTAATTCAACATTTTACAACGTAAGGTGCTTGCTAACTTGCTTACATTCACCCTTGCTTAAAACTTGCTAGTTGCTAACTTGCTACACACAGAAAGATAACAACTTTATGCAGACCACTTCAATAAATCTGCGGGTAATTGCTAGATATATAATTGACAGGCTAAAGCTTAAGATAATGTCCAAGTTGTATTAATTAAGATTATGAAACATTTCACAACTCGAAGGGAAGGAACACATTATTTGAGATTCTGAAATATTTAACAGATTGTGCATATAGTCGCAGTTCAATTTGAACTTTACAGTAAAGAAGTGATTTGAGACAAAGGGGGGGGGGGGGGGGGGGGGGGGGGGGGGGGGGGGGAAGAGAGAGATGCAATCAAGCAAAAGCCACAGGACAGTGCCTTGAATAATCAGGGATGAATGCCAAGGGTACCAAAAGTATAATATATATTGGATGATTTCCACTTACCACATAATCCAACATAACTAATAATAGTCTGCCAATCCCTCAAACATTAGCTAAAAGAAACGTAAAATCTCCAAGAAAAAACTAAAAACATCTCCAAATAGTAAAACAAAACTTGAGCTACATTTAAAAGGTGAGGACTTCATGAAAAGCTCGGCTTCTTCTGACTTAATCAAAGAGACTGAAACCCATGTCCTGCAATAAAGATATATAGAGTTAGCAACGTGGGATGTCACAAATTTTTCAGTATTCTTAATTGACCAAAAGGATGATGATAGAGCTGTTCTTACATCATCTGATTCTTCTTTCTCTTCAACCTTCTTCTCCTCCTTGGGAGCCTCAGCGGCGGCAGCACCAGCACCACCAGCGGGAGCAGCTGATACTGCAACTGCACCTCCACCAGCTGGGACAGATGCAAGCTTTTCTCTTCCTGCAGCAACTAGTTCTGTGATGTCTTTACCAGACACTTGGTCAAAGAACAATTGAAGCCTGTCCTCATCAGTTTCAATACCCACTGCAATTAAACAAATACACGGTTAAGGTTTACTGCATACAGACATAGAGACCTAGACAACAAAGCCCTTCTCTTCCAAGGAAACAAAAGCATAGGAGTATAATCTTAGCCTATTCATAATAACTACCTTTACTCTTACATAAATAATGCTATAATTTATTAGAAAAATTCAGCTCATGTAGTTTTCTGTATGAGAAAGTATATGAATACTTCACAAGCCCACTTTGTATTGGGCACTAAGTAAACATTAGACTGTTGTATCATTGGCTAACCAACCCAATACATTTATCCAACTCAATAAATTCTCACTTCAGTCAGAGTATTAACAATTTTACTACGAACCAAACTATGGTGGCAACCTAAATCATACAATCACCATACTCCTAAGAAGGTGGAAAAAAGCTTACTAACTTGCCACACTGTCTTAAATCAACTTGTGAAAGATTGTACATCACTCGAAATACTTAATCAGCAAAATCAGACACTTGTATTCAATTAATCGCAAAAGTTAAATCACAAAGGTAATGAAAAACTGCACATTGATAGCACATCTTAAGCAACAGAGAGGATTTTTCAAGAATCATGCAGTCATACGGAGCGCACTGCAAGCCTAAAGAGCACTATGCTAATTGCAGTATCAGTCTACCCACAAGTCACACAACCACTTGTGTGAATTTCATACCAGAAGTGCCATATGCTCGGTACCACCAGTCGTACATACAATCGCAATTCAAAATAGTACACAATAAGCCCAAAGAGTATATACATCTATACAAACGGTGTATATTAACAAACCCGCGAAGCATTCAACACAAACTAACAAACCAAACCCTTCATAATTCAACAAAACCCAATGTTCCAAATTCCAATCGTCCAACAAAACTCAACCCATCCAATCGAACAACAAATTCTACAGCAAAATTCAATAATAACCTTATCATAATTTCATATAAATAGAATAAGAATCTACACTTAATTTAACAGAAAAACAACACATTATTATATAGTAACATGAAACCAAATTTTCGCAGAAAAATTAGCACAAGAACCTAACAAATCAATAATTTTTCACACATTATCAACTCAAGTTTGGATTATCACACAATTAACTCAATAAACATTCCACAAATTGCATTGATGAGAGAAAACGAATTACCTGATGCCAGAATACTTTTAACATCAGCCTGAGTAGGGTTAGCTTTACCGCCCAAAGCAGCCAACAAGTAAGCGGCAACGATCTTCATGTCTACAACACAAATCACACAAATTCAATTCACCAAACAAATTCAGATTAACAAGTTAAATTACACAAGAAAGATGAAGAAAAATTACCTGGAGTTGGGTTTTAGGGTTCGAGAAAGTGGGAAGCAAGGAGAGAATTTGCAGAAGTTCGGCGATTGTAATCAGGAAAAGAAAAGGGTTAGGAGGCGAAAGAGGGCTTAAATATATTTCTAGGGTTTAATGTTGTAGATGTTTTAGGATTTTATCCTGGCCGTTGATTTTTGTTTTCCAATAATACCCCTGTGTTTTCGGTCTTCTTACTAGTTAGCCCTTTAGGGTTTGTTATGTCATTTTGCTGTTATTGGGTTTTTTATTTTTGGACTGGGCTAGCCCATTACTGTGCTACCATGATCTAACAGAGTGACAGATGTAAGAGCCCAATCATAAATTTGAACAATATCAAAAATTCAAGATCAAGGATATTTTTGTCTAATTTTCTTTAGAAAAAATATTTTAACACTTAACTACTTTTTTTTTTAGGGTAAAATATATCAAAGTAAATATTAAAATAATCGTCAAGACAAATCTAATAAGATTGCATATAACCATGTTTTGAAGTACATATGTTAATACCATTTGGAAATATAAATTAAGACAGTTCTGATAAGATTGCACAAAATTATGTTTCACAACATATACTTATGCTTAAATGATTAAATTTCATGGACATAAGAATCACTGCCCAAATGGGCATTCAAATAAAAACAGATGGAGTATTAAGTTGAATTTTGGTGTGTTGTGAAACTTTTATCACTTTATGTATGTAAAATTATTTTTATAGACTTAAAGAGTTAGTGTTTTTGGAGATGAGCCATTTCAAAAGGTTTTGGAGACACGTGGCACTCTTCTATTTGTTTCTATACTATCTATTAAAGTCGTTCTAAAGGATGTTGATGGCACATGACACTCTCTATTTGTTTCTTATTGCATGTGTCACGTGTCACTCAACTCTATTTTGTTTCTTATTGCACGCAATTCATCATTGTAAAATAAAAAAATTATCAACAAGATTCAAACATGCAATCTTTACCTTTAAAACTAAGTGTCTTATAACCTCTATATTGAATACAAAATATTAATATGTAGTGGATGAAAATATGAAAAACAAATTTAATCACAGAAAAAAAATATCATTAATTTAAATGTATACTAATAATCAATCACATGTGTGCGCAAAAAAAAAAACAAAAAAAAAAAAGAATAAAAAAATCACATGTATTTGACACGGGCAAAATACTAGTTGAAAAGGTAAGACGATAAAGCCTTGTGTATTAATTTTATATATTGACCAATTTAAATTTATAATTTCATTTGTTCTTAATTAATTTTGACACTTTACATACATTGTATGCATCTTTCTTCACCATCATAAAGTGAGGATAACACACTATCGAAGTATTGATCTCATATCCAATGTAAAAAAAAAGTCTCAATCTCTACTCTATAGCGCTACAACCATAGACGAATTTAGGCGGACATACCTAGACCACGACCTGCCTCGTATTTTTTTTTTCCTAAAATAAATATATATACTATATTGATGTGAATAAAGAGGACATAGTCCCTCCACCCCCCAGTGGTTGGGGGGTTCGACCCTCATTCCCCCCATTTGATAGGGTGGAGGGATCCCCCCGTATATTACCGATTTTTAAAAAAATAAAAAAAATTCACGTGAATAAATGACATAGAAATACAATGGCTAAGTTGGTTTTTACATAAATGTGTTAACACTTAAGTAAATAGGTAGTGTGTTCAATCTCTATCATTTTTTGTCTTTTCTATTTTCATCCAATTCTTGTACAAAACTTTTAAGATATGGCTTGTCCATTGAATAAAATCTCAGCTTCGTCCTTTAGCTATTAGTTATCAATGGCTCTAATAAAACGTTTGTTGTACTTGTTTTAAGTTGGTACACATTTTATCACCAACTATACTACCATACTTTAGTCTTTGTTTGGTTCCAAAAGACAACATTTTTGATATAAAATGGGTAGCAACTTACCGTAATTTTGTTCCAACAACTATTTGTTAGCCTTTAATGACTTGCATTACTAGAGGTCGAGAAGTTTTCAAGAAAACAATAGTATCTCCTACCACATTAAATTTTATCATACACCCTATAATTTATTTATAACAATGAAATAACAATTGATAACCAAATAACACACTATCAATTAAAATTACGTGTCGTAATAATTGTTGAAAACAGATGATATATATTCGCAAAACAAATTTAACTACGAAAACTACACATATAAATTGCACAATCTTAACCTCTCATAGATAATGTTTCTATTTTTTTTTTTGACGAGTTAGACTACAATCTCGAGCAAAGGCATTCCTAAATTGATCAACTTCTACTGTTCTAGTTCTAGTTAAAAGCAGCACAAAACATAAAATATGTGAAAGGACGAGTATGGTCAAAGAACCTATAAACGGCGAGGCACCCTATTACAGTCAAGGTCACCCAACGCAGGGGCATTTCCGTCCAAAAGAAAAAATAAACAAAAAGGGCGGGAAAACCCCAATTGTTCACCTCTCACAAATTACAATCCCCATCTTCATCCCGCCATTTTTCACTCTTCACTTCACTTCATCTCACATCTTCCCACTTTCTCTCTCCTCAAAAGCTCGCCGGAGTTTTACCGGATTAGGTCAACTATGAGCGGCGATTTCCGACGACGTGATCGGAAAGATGATCGGAAATGGAAGAAGCAGCAGCAGCAATTGGTTCGAAGTGCTGAAGACGAGCTCGAATCTAAGCTAGGGTTTGATGTATTTACTGAAGGTGATAAGCGTCTTGGTTGGCTACTTACTTTATCATCTGTAAGTTTGCTGTAATTCGCAAATTTGGCTTAAAAACTGGCGAAATTATGGAGCTTTGTTTTTAGGGTTTGGGATTTTGGTGAATTAATTTTAGTAATTAAGTGATTGGATTGGATTGGATTGTTTGTGTTTTGTAGTCTTCACTTCAAGACAAGGATAGCGGGAATTTGTACAGTTGCGTAGATTTGTATTTTGTTACTCAGGTGAGTGGAATTGGAACCCTAATTTTGTGTTGAATTTTGGGGTTTTTG